GTATTCTTGCAGAAGTATCATCCATCGCGCCAACTCCCCTCGGGGGTCTCTTGCTGTTTTCAACCACTGCAGGGGTTTATGTTCAGTCTCAATGTGAAACCGTCTACCTAAAAGGTACGGTCTCCATTTTTCTACTGCCCGCGCGATTGCTGAACACTCCTTTTCGATCGTTGAATACTTCTGTTCAGCGGGTGTGACGACGCGACTTGCGTATTCCACCACTCTATCAGCCTGACTCAACACAGCACCTATACCATGACCACTTGCGTCTGTGGCTACTGTAAACAGTTTTCCGGGTTCAGGCAGTCCGAGCGTCATCTGACGGTCGTCTAGCATGTTTTTGATTCGGTCGAACGTTTGTTCGGCAGTCTCAGCCCACGTAAACTTGGTGTTGCTCAACAACTTATGTAGGGGTGCTGCTATTTCGTTGAAATTCTTGACAAACCGACTGTAGAACGCCGCTCTTCCCAGGAACTGTCTCGACTTCCTTGTCGAATTAGGCACTGCAATATTTTTTATGGTAAGGATTTTCTCCGGCAATGGTTTTGTTTCTCAATTTCCCACTTTATGTCCCAACAACGTGACGCTATTTCTCGCTATCTGTGACTTGTCCTTATTAATTCGAAGTTCAACTTCGTCAATTCGCTTTAAGATCGCCTCCACACACTTGACGTGATCTGTTTCTGTCTGACTGTACACAACTACATCGTCGCTATATACCTCGACATTATCTAGATTCTTGAGCAGTAGCGTCATTAATCTTCTGAACGTAAATGGTGCACCAGCCAACCCAAACGGCATTTGTTTAAATTGATACTGTTTATCACGTACAGTAAACGCTGTCTTGCTTCGATCGCTCTGTTTTATAGGCAGTTGCCAATAACCTGGCCGTAAGTCCAACACTGTAAACACCGTGGCATTCTGTAGCCAATCTAATGTTCCCACCACTGTGGGCATTGCACAAGGTTTCAGGTCTGTTATATTATTCAACTCTCTGAAGTCGACACAAAATCTATACTTTCCGTTTGGTTTCTTTACTAAGAGTACCGGTGAGCTATATGGGCTGTCCGCTTCCTCAATTATACCTTCTTTCAACATTACCTGGACCTGACGATTTACCTCAGCCTCTAAATGCACCGGGACATAACGTGTTGCAAATATATTTACTCGATCGTTCTTTATCGGGATTTCGTGCTTCACTTTGTCAAAATCCATACGGCTCCCCATCTTCAGTGAATAGTTTCGCATACTTTGTTCATAACTCGTTAATGTTCGGTTTCTTCGACGAGACATCCGCTGCCACTCTTATTTCAGCCACTTCGCTACTTTTACGTATTGGCAATGAACCATACTTTATAACCATCTTACTGCTTCTTAAGTCAACTATCGCTTTTACTTCTCTTAGGAAATCTGCTCCTGATATCTGTCTCGATAAGCTTGTGGTTACCACGAACGGAAAATTTATCTCAGCATTTCCCAATTTTACGATACTGTTAGATACCCCCAACACCTCTAAAATATGGCCTCCTATAGTGTGGACAGCTAATGTACACGGATTGAGTCTCTTACATTGCTCTTTGCCTATTAACGATACTGCTGCCCCTGTATCGACCAGACAAACTAAATCTCGTTCATTTATGTTCACTCTCGTATAAACTGCCCTTCTGTCTACTAACGCAACAACTCCCAGATTCCTAGGATAGAAAGAACACACGTTATAACGTCTTCGTCTTGTTGGACAGTTTATCTTCCAATGTCCTATCCCTCCGCAAGCGTAACATTTATCGTTCCTTTTATGGTTCACTCGTATTGCTGAAATCTCACGCTCCAGCTCCTCAATCTTCTCGACATTATTTATCTCCTGCTTTTCGCACCCGACCGGAGCTACTGCTCGTGTCATCAGCTGACGAGTCACCTTCGCCAGTTCACAGATATAAATCGGTTGCGCTGCGTTCACTAGTTTCAGCTGCTTGGAAACGGTGTCAGGCACACTCTCGATAAACTGCGACGCCAACAATTGTGCCTCCGACTCCTCATCCAGACTCGGCAGCGCACGGCGTAACAATCTGGTAAGCTCCACAGCCAGCACCAGTGGGTCACCACCGACCGACAACCTCGCCGACCAAAACTTCTGTAGTGCCCCCGCCTGTCCACCGGGCTGTCGAACTCCGCCAGTAACCGCTCCGTGACCGTCTCCCATGTCGTCTTTCCGCCAGCACCGTCCAAACTATCATATACAGCTATCGCTCTGCCTCTCAAGCAGCGTCCCCAGCACCAAATTCGCCTTCGGCTCCTTCACTCCCACCAGCTCCAACACGGCCTCAAACTCCTTCAGAAGGCTCAGCACGCCTCCGGCCATGGAATCTTCATCCTTAGTGGAGGCAACGACACCAAATGTAGTGAAAGAGAACACAGGTGAGGACAACCGAATCATATTTAGCACAAAATTACAAAGTTACTTGGTAAAGTAGAAAAACCACATAGTAAATCGTTAATTTGCAAAATATCAATGCATCCTATCAACCTGGACTGTGCTTGTTGCAAACATCAATCAATTGTCTCACATTTCATTGTTCATGCGTTTTCTTGCAAATTGCGTTGTGTTGTCGCTCTTCCTTTCTCGATCTTTCTCCATCTTCTACTGCCAGACATTGCGTTTTTAACTCGCGTCATATACTACTTACATCGATATAAGTAGCACGCACCACAGTATCAGCTTTGCACCTTCGAAGTGCAAAGTACTTCTACAAGATTGGCAGGACCCTGATCCTGCACTCACCCTGTATGATGAGCGGATAGAAGTAGTCGAGTAGTTCGTGTATCTAGGTAGCTGCACAAGTGCTGGTGGTGGCGTGAGTGAACGACAGAGCGGCTCATGTCAATCTGGGCCATGTTTTTTCTGCCGTCGTGATGTTAGTCTGGCTGCAAAAGATCGGATCAACAACGTGTCTGTGAGAGCAGTTTTGCTCTATGCTTGTCAAACCTAGTTACCGAGTTGGGGATGTTATACGACTCTCTGTGTTTGATCATCGTTGTCTCCGAAGGATTGCTGACATCCAGTGGCAACACTATGTTAGTAATGCAGAGGTTCAGCATCGTGCGTTCGGGCACAGAGACGATAATTCAGTTGGTGTCACTATCTTGAAACATCGACTTCTGTGGCTTGGACATGTTCTACGAATGTCGTCCCAGAGAATTCCACGTCGTGAATTATTTGCCCACTCTAGGACCAGTTGGAAAAAACTGAGAGGTAGTCAGTGTATGACATGGTGTCGTGGTATGAAAGAAAGTTGTGCGTGACTGGCTTCTGTTGGTTCTTCATGACTCCCTGGCTGTGGTCCGAGAGATGGTGCTCCACAGTGGCTAGAGACGTTATCAGATATGGCTCAGAATAGAAGCCAGTGGCGGTCCTGCTGTAGCTTTTTTTACTTTCTCCATAAAAAAAGACGTCACCTCTTTAAGTGGAAGAATTCTTTGTGGTTGTACTTTTACTAATTGAACTGCCCCTCCCATTATTGTTATTTCAGTATCATACACAAATTCTGTTCATTGTTGTACTTCTTTTTACTTATACTCGCCTTACATTCTTTATATCTTCACATTCTCATTATTATTGTATGGCGCATATGTATCTGGTGCCCCTTTGTACCAATGTTTTTCTGTTCAAATAAATAAATAAGGTTTAGATTCCCTGTTTGGAGTCCACGTCATCATCATAACCAATGGTTGGAGACTCTAAATGACGTAGCTTAACATCGTTTGCAGTGGCATAGATGCATCCACTTTTCCTTCGCTCTTAATTTCTAAGTATCGGAACTCATCACTGTTTTTTTATTCCACTGATTTTTTTTCCTTGGTTAGTATCTTTGATGCCTAATTTTTTCTAGTACTTCAATACCCCTACCACTCCGGGATTTGATCTGACGAATTGTACCAATATACACCTGCACCAAGTTTCATGTTGCTTTTGACTGACTGACTTTCGAGGAATATTTTTAGACTTCAACACTTGTTGGTCAAAGTCACACTGTTCAAATTAACATTTTTCATCTACCTGTCATCCACCAATGTTATCGTCTGCACTAGCTTAAAAGTATCATTAAATGATGCCTTATCCAAAGTGATAAGGATAATAAAAAACCCTATCGTGATAGTTTTGTTTTTCACACTTCGTGTTATAATTTGTGGATAATATATACTACGTATCTGTTATGTGCTTAATTATTTCAGATGTATGTGATATTTGGAAAAGCCGGTTTTCTTAAATAGGTTTTGTAAAGATTAGTTTAAATTGTAGTTAGTTTTCATCATGAATTAATCAGTGTTAGAAAGCAAACCAGTGGATTTTATCTAAGTAATTTAAAGTTTAAGTACTCACCATAAGATCTTTAGGTTCAGATTCTGAACCTTAGTGAGGTCGTCGGTGCACACCACTAAGAAGTTTCATACTAGGAAGAAACTATTTACTGTCCAGTGATCTCGGGTTAGTATTGATACACTAATAAAGAATTATGTAAAAAGGCTAACTAATAATAGTGTGCTTTTAAGCGGATACATTTAAACTTACAGCATTATGGGCAATCTCTTCTAAACTATCCTATCCCGAAATAAAAATCGACACTCGGGTGCAGGTACATACAACCGACGAGTCTTAAGTAAGATTAAACGCGCGTCCTGGATCCTACTGTTATTCAGTATCTAACTTTACTTAAGGTTTATGATAATCGGGACAGTCCATTAAGGATGTACATATTCCAAAAGAGATCATAGATCGGTTACGGCCCTTAGCATCATCAACAGAAAGACTCATTAACTGACAAATGAAATAATGTCTTATCGCATGTCATGAATATAACTGTCGAATTGATTTTATCTGAAAAAATTGGTTATTATCAGTATTATATGCATTTGACCAGCGAATAGCTTTAATCTCTATCTTGTTCACAACTTTTCTGTCTTCTCTCTCTTTTCAAACAAATTTTAAAAAATAAATATTTCAGTTCTAAAATGTCAAATAAAGTGGTTTATGCTGAAGCATTATCCGAATTAGAAGAAACCTTATTCGTTGATCAATTGCCAATACCACAACGTGTTTTAAAGTAAGAGTATTTTATATGAACAATAATTATTTGTAGTTTATGTGGGATTCTTCTTCATTACATTCATTGTGAATTTGTCGATTCAAGTAAACATGGCCATTTCGCTTACTATTGAACTTAAATCAGAATCTACCTCTCCTATTGCGTAACTATTATCTCACATACTTACACAGAGAGAAATCTTATTTATTGAAATTGTTTTAAACTGCTAAAATTGTTGTCTCTGAAATATTTATCTAAATTGTCATTCTATGGTATAGAGATATGTGATTTATATATATGACGTGGTGGAGATTTGTAGCTCAGGTCGATGATTTAAGTCGAGTTTTGTTCTCTGTACTGAATGTTTTGGTCGTCGAGCACAAACTTCTACCTGAAGTTTATGCTGGTGATGTTGCTTGGAAGAATAATAAAAGCTTCACAATTAAACCATCCAAGTCCGAGAATAAAACTGCACCAAAATCTATATTGTCTAATTTGGACTTAAATATAATCGTATTTTATGTCAATAAATGTAACTGACACTAAAAATAGACCTACATATTGTTAGTCTATACCTTAGTTTTCCAGTTGATAGGAACTGGATGATTTGTTAAAGTTTCTACTAGATAATGATAAACAATTGAATAAAATAAACCTGTTAATTCATTAATTTTTGATAACATGCGTTGTCATTCCTACCACTATTCATTATAAAACAGACCGTTAAGAAAGTTCAAGTTGGTAATAGCAAAATTGTTTTAATTTATGGCCTATTCTCTATCATTCACCTGCTCCTGTGAAGTAAAACTGTACTTAGTGTTTGCTCTTCTTGTTTGAGCGCATCTCTGAACACATGTAAAACTTAGTTCTATTTGGGGAGAAAAAATTAAAGCATCTAACTTATTTTCATTGTCTTAGATCATTTTGTTATTCCTGAATGTCTGGTTGGTTAATACATATTGTAACTGATATATATTGACCGAATAAAAATATTTTCTGTTTTCTACAATTTCTTACTATAATACGATAACACGACTAGCGACTGATATCTCGCTACCAATAAACTGAATGCTCGATTGATACGATATGCACAGACTGGATTACATACCGAATACCAATTTACGACCGACATAGAGAGCCAGAGTATACCTCAATCGATGCAATTATAAGGAGTCTGCAATCAGTGAGTTCAGAGTAGAAACCAGTGACAGAAAGCTACTCACATGTTAAATTGTTGTGATTTTAAGGCCGGCTAATTATCATGTGATTTATTCGCCAATTGAATTACGACTTATACAATCTTAATACTGTGTCAAACCAGTAAAGTTCGACCGTTATGAGCAGCCTAGCGTCCTTATTGACCCTTTGTTCTCCTAGCCCTTTCAGTTGAGTCCAGAACGCCAATAACAGCTTCCACTACGCGAATCATTTATTTCAAACATACTCGGTTTATATATCAGCCAAACAGACAGCATTACACCATAAAATAGGAAATAACATTTATACAAGATCAAGCTAAATAATGGCTGTGAACGTGGGAGACTGTAATTAATAAAATGAACATAACTTAAGAATAGTAAATTGTATAATAATAGTCTATAGCTCAAAATAAAGCTTATAATAAGAGGAATATGGATATATGCAATCTAGTTACTGAATAGTTATACAATAAGAATATATATAGAATATTAGTCCATTAATAGTTCTCAGAAGTTACCCGTAGTTTAATATTCACTAGGATATAATATAAATAGTGGGCTGTTTCTTTCAATTTATGCTCAGTAGCCAATGATGTCTTGCTCCTAATGTCCATTTTGTCTTACAGTTTATCAAAACTTGGTGAAATATGTCCACATGAGATTATTTTAAACTGCGAAGCCCATAGCTGTTCACATTATAGACCTTAAACTTTATATTCATTAGGGGTTTATATGATTCCTTGATTTATTTTTTGAATAGATGCTATAGGCATAAACTCAGACCATGGCTCTAGCCAAGATTGTGTCTTATTTATATGTAGGGGTTTGAGTATTTTATGCTTCGGGTGTTCGGAGCTAAAGGTTAATGGGTTTGAAACGGGCGTTGGACATCGGCACCAGGATGCATGTACTCTTGGCTGTCGAGTCCGAATTTGGACTAAATATACTTCATAAATCCCACTGTTAACCACAATTCACCTTTACATTTTGTCGTATCATTTTCATAATGTTTATGTTCTTTTCATATCATATAGTCTTAGTTCTGTTTCTTTTTCTGAATTCGTATTCCATTCATTATTCCATAAGATAAATAATGTTGCACATTTATCAGGTATGTATTCTTACAGTTTGCTTGAAACTACACTTTTGTGTGTGTTTGCAGTGAACAAGCTTTTCAGACTGAAAAATCTGATGAATCGGTGTATGAACTTGTGGTCCTTTGGTTGCGAAACCAAACCATTTAACTCCCCTCATTCATGTTCTCTCCCTTTCTCTTTGCCATCACATAGTTGTTGCCATCTGCTCCATTGTAGTTATGATGATAACTTCTGCATGTTAACTGTTTTGTTCTCAATTGAATTTATTTTCTTATGCCTGTTATTTCTCATGGAGCATAGGCCACCGACCAGGGATATCCGATCAGCTCTGTTACGGTCCCTCCATTCAAGGTGTTACCAAAGTGCTATTCTTCGTTTTGATGTCTACCTTCGATTCCTGGCGCAGTGTGTTTTTTGGTCTGCCTTTCTTCCTTCAGGTATCCAAACTAGAGCCTGTTTCGTGATGCAGTTTGATTATTTCCTCAGTGCGTTACCTATCTTTTCCTAGTTTCTCCTTCATCTAGAAGCTGGTTTTTTCTCTGTCACAGTAGGTCGTTGCTGATAGTGTCTGGCCAAAGAATCTGAAGTATCTTGTATAGACAACTGTTTATAAATGCCTTTACCTTTTTCTGATGATGGTTGTAGTAGTTCTCCGAAACTTCAACTCCGTACAACAGAACTGTCTTAAAATTCTTATTGAAAATTATGAATTTATTGTTGACTGATAATTCTTTAGAGTTCCATTTATTCTTCAATTGTAGAAATTTTTCACTTGCTCTTCCAATTCGTGCCTTATCATGTGCATTAAATCTTCTTTATCAATTAAATGTGCCATGTAAATGTGATTGTACAGCTTGAATGAGAATAGTGCCTCTAAAATTAAATCTTTTCATTGTATGTTTTAATCTACTTGAACAGATGAGATTCATTTTTCGCTATTTGTAACTCCCATCTTTTTATTCGTTGGTGTTATATCTCATTAATTAATTAACTAATTATTAATAATACCATTGTTATTATTGTGATCAGTTTGCTTTGTTTTATTTATTTATTAAAGCTATGATAAATCTATTATAAAAAATCTACCACCAAGATCTATTCCAAAAATTCAAAAAGAGTAAGCAAGTTATTGCTAATTAATTAATTAACTAATTACATCAATAAATGTGAATTTATTACCTTTTTAACAAAATTGTAAAACATTTTTTCATTATTATAATTTTACGTTATGCCTATCAATCACTGTTTTCAGTATCAAGCACATGTCAGTTAAGGATTTTAACAGAAATTATTTTTAAACCTCTAAATTTAAAAGAAAATAAAAGCTGTTAATTAGATCTACGCCTTTGTGATTGAGTTTGGTCTATTCCACTCAATATCTCCAGATCATTGGTTACGACAATCACGCTCACCCTATTAAGTATTCTTTACTTACATACCCACATACATTGCTCGTTCTAACAGTCAGTGAGCTCATGGGATAGTATCACATCTTCATTTGACAGAGATTGGCTTTCAGAAAGCAATATCACCTTAGTTATTCACATTGCATAAAGTGTTATAGAAGATACGTTCATATAGTGCTTAGGATTAATAAAATTCTTAAATTGTTCAGTCCTATAGTGAAAATGATATGACATTAAACCAATATCTCATGAAACAATTACACAGACTCTTACTAAAACGTCAATAATGAGTTCATTTGTTTGCTTGTTGGTTCAAAGTAAACACTAATCTGAATATTATCCACCGCTTATGTGCTGAATAATAAATACTATTAAATTTACTTGGTGTTGTTTGCTTATATCTTCCCATTCTTGTTTAGGACTGCAATCGGCCAGTCTCTTATTTGCATATGTGCATCCTGTGCGGATGGCCTCGATATTGCCTTAAGTCACAAGCTTTATAAGCGAAGATGGATAGTGGCTGGCAGTGAAATCCAGTACGCGCGTTTCGTCCTAATTGGGACTCGTCAGCTGGATGTACCTGCATCCCATGGTTGATGTTCACTCCGGGACTCGAACCCAGTGCCGTTCACTCCAAACGCCATCGCGTTATCCATTTAGCTACTGAGCCACCATTCATCTTGGCTTATAAAGCCTGTGACTTAAGGCATAAAAGAGAAGTCTTTAAGATATTGATCTGCTCGAATTAGTGGGTTTCCATGTAGCGAAATATCGCAAACTTAAAGCTCAACAAGCCTAATTATAAACTTTTAGAAAACTCTTAAATTACGTAAAAATCATCGTTATATACAATTAAGTTTAATTGGTTTTTGAGCGATAAATTCTTTACTTGAATGATCTATGCACTCTTTCAATAACCAAGGGATATTCACATTTCAAAACCTTTTGATCTGTTTCCGTAAACGGTTAGAAATGTTTGTATTTTTCCTGGTTTTGTTGCTAGGGCATGGATGTGGTCATTGATTTTCTAAAATGAGTAGTAATGTTGGTTAGTCGTCATGGTGTAATGCGTGTTTTTAGTTTTAGTTTTGAAGAATAACATCATTTTTACGTGACTTTATTTCCGTTTTGTTTTCAAATTGTATTCTCGTCTGTACAAATAAATAAATATGTGAATCATGGTTGTAGATTTTTGACTCTAACCAATATAAGGAGCCTACTTACATCTTATTCCACCTAAGTTGAAGGGGATGGCATAAATGTTTAACCTATGTAATCTTCCGTAGAAGTCATTTCATCTATTGATCCTTTACGATCGTCGAGCATAATCTCGTGGTCAGGCTATTCTGCTTGCTCAATATTCTTAAAGAACAAATAAAAGTTTACTTTGAGAATGTTATATATATATATTTAGTAGAGCAGATAAGTGATGTACAGATTATGATCACAATCCCATGTGGGTAGAGCTATTTTATCTATCATTAATCTGAGTAGCTTTTATTAAACTTAATCATAAGTCTTGTAATGCAGGGATACATTCAGCTTGAAGTGTATTTGGTTAGGGTTTAGTATTATTTCACAAACTGTACTATGTCCATAAGTATGACATCGTCAAATCATAATATTTATGTATAAAACTGGCAGGAGGCTTGTGTCTTCACCCATCGTCCTCCATAGTTAGGTGTTAGAAACAGTCGAGACGTTAATGTACCTGTGTACTTGTGTGACCATTCATAATCCAGTAGAACTAAAACTAAATTTTTAATTATTAGAAATCCAATACACACGATCACATATAATACTTGAAATTGTCAATAAAATTTATTATTTCAATTCTACTCCTCTCATTGCATTTATTGCTCGACATGACTCATTAATAGCCTGCATGTGTCCATAAGTTATCTTGATCAAATTAGTAAAATATTTGGGAACCAGTTATACTGTAGTGAGTAATTAATAAAACCCTTACTACAATTGCATAATGTCCCCATTCTTATGTAGATATTTTGTCATTTAAACACTAATTCACTATTTTATTTATTACAATCTGTTATGTGAACTCAACTGTGTAGCTGCTACCTTAATGTGGTGATCGGGCTTGCCTATCACTGTGACTTGATAGAGATATATTGGATAAAACACGTGTTCCTTTCAGTCCTATCAGTTCTGTTAGAAAATGGAAAGACTGAAAGTACCAACTTAAGTTTTGAGGGTTTTCACCGTGGTTATATTTCATACAGTTTTAATATACGGATCACAGTAAAAAACTCTGGCATCAATAACTAATTATTTTGTGTATTGCCGTTCGATTCACTTACTACATAGGCTTCCTACAATACACCTAACCCACTCTGCAAAAGGGAAGATTGAAATTGGTAGGAAAATTTGATTGCCACACTAAATTGTAATGTGCACAAATTATTAGTACACATACGATTGTCGTTTTGACTGAGTGGACGTGTATGCTGAGATCCTCAGTAGATGCCAGACATATTCCTTTCAATAGCGCGTGTCGTTTATGATGTCTCACCTTTTGATCATGAGATGGCGTGCTATAACTCTATACTCGCCCAGCCTATCATTTAATTACACACTTTACTCAGTCATGCTGATGACAGTGTAACATAGTTGACCAATCAAAAACCTCCGAATGGCAATTAGATGTGATTGGCCATGAAGTTTGATTCTCTGAGGTGTGCTTTCGCATGTGAATCAGTTTATTCTAATGAACTCCCTTCATCACTTTTAGCCTTCTCATTCAGTACCTGGTTAGGGGCTTGAAAATAAAAAGTTTGTGTATTAACATCTATCTCGAACACCAAGCATCACAATACAGTTGTTTAGCGTTAATGTGCTATGGTAATTTGAACCAATGAATATATTTCAGGTTCAACGTTGCACATTACTGAATAAAGGGATTTCCCATTCAGCCACTACGGTCCATGTTTGAACTCTTCCAACTCTTCTTCATTTTGAGCAACCGGACAATGTCATAAGCACTAACTCATTAGCGAGCACATAATTGCTTACTTAGTAAAATAAGTTACTTAAGTAATTTGTGGGGACTAGAGTTCACACATATCTGTATCAAATGGTATATTAAAGTTCTGACACAACATTAAATAATATTCTTGTTATCTTATATTATTTCAGTTCTACTGCTCGAGCATCTACACCTTATATACCATCGCTGCCGGATGCTGCTTCAGTGTTCTCTGGTGTATTTGAAGAACAGTGCAAAGATGTTACTCCAGATCCTCAACAACAATTTAATGTTAGTTTACAATTGTAAGTATGTAACGTTTAAATATATATTGGTATTAAATTGTGCAGATTACTGGATTTCATTTAAATCACGAGTCGATTCAAGTTAGATAACCATTAGAATCTTGAAAGCACTAGTATGGGACTCCTCGGTAGTGCACATTTACAACCTTGCAGCCAGAAATCGAACGCAGGATCTTTAGTCTTGCTCGCGAACGCTTAACCTCTAGACCACTGGGCTGGGATCCAATGGTGTACATATCTAACTTTAAGCACTTCATGATATTGCGCAACCATCTCACATTTTCTTCACTTGCTATTTTCCTCTCATCGAACTCGGTTTACATATATATATATAATGCATGCTTATTGTTGTATATTATGTTCTTCATAGCTTGAACAAAGTTTTGATTTCAATTGGAATATATACTTCGGATCGAAGCATTGTACTTTCCTCTCTCTTCTTATATTAGCATCAAAATGAATAACGGCGGTCGACCTATTCCTATTGTCTTTGAAGATACCATCGATTATCTACGCGATCGTGGTATGTGGTACTTTGATTTTCTTAATAATGAAAGTAAAATATGTATATCATAATTTTGCTTTTTACACACATAGAATAAAATATTAATAAATGAGGGATAACAAGGTGAGTCCACGTTTGCTCTGCAGAATCCCCATAATTCATGAGGACACAATAGCGGAGATATGGCTATAACAGCTATATTAAGTACGAGTGAGTTATCCAGATTATTGAGTTGATAGTCTATATCATGAACTGACCTTTACGTTAGTTATGCGGCAGAAAAAATCATCAAAAACTCGAAGATTTTAGTTTTTGTAGTGTGCTTTTATTTGAAATCAAACACGATGAATACATCGCACTAGTACTGATACAATCGTAGTGTTTCTTGACATAAGGTTTGCCTTCGATTCGTTGAACAGGACTGTTCTCTGGGATTGTCTATTAAAGGAGGGTGTGCCTAAGAAATTTATTAACATCTTAAAAGCCCTATATACAAACACCTCAGGCAGAGTGAGGGTACATAATCACCTCTCTCCATTGTTCCATTCAAGCAGTGGGGTTAGACAGGGTTGCCCAATCTCAGCATTCCTCTTCAACTTTGCTATCGACGACGTTCTCGGAACAGCTCTGATGGATGTAAGTAATGGCGGTGGTGATCTGTTGCCCGGGGAAAGACTCCTCGACCTTGAGTATGCGGATGATATTGTCTTACTGCGCGATAATACCCAAGTCATGCAATCCTCACTTAATCAGTTGGCAATTAGTTTCCGAGTTGGGGATGTTATACGACTCTCTGTGTTTGATCATCGTTGTCTCCGAAGGATTGCTGACATCCAGTGGCAACACTATGTTAGTAATGCAGAGGTTCAGCATCGTGCGTTCGGGCACAGAGACGATAATTCAGTTGGTGTCACTATCTTGAAACATCGACTTCTGTGGCTTGGACATGTTCTACGAATGTCGTCCCAGAGAATTCCACGTCGTGAATTATTTGCCCACTCTAGGACCAGTTGGAAAAAACTGAGAGGTAGTCAGTGTATGACATGGTGTCGTGGTATGAAAGAAAGTTGTGCGTGACTGGCTTCTGTTGGTTCTTCATGACTCCCTGGTTGGGGTCCGAGAGATGGTGCTCCACAGTGGCCAGAGACGTTATCAGATATGGCTCAGAATAGAAGCCAGTGGCGGTCCTGTTGTGGCTTTTTTTACTTTCTTCATAAAAAGTGGTTGTATCTGCATTAACTGAAAGAATTCTTCAGGTTGTATCTTTCCGTTTCCCCCATAATAATAGTAATTGTTATTATTAATACACTACCCTACACTAATCTGTGGTCGTTATACTTCTTTTTTTCCCTTCCATTCTCATTGTTTTGTATGGCGCATATATATTTAGTGCTCCCTTGTATCAATATTTATGTGTTCAAATAAATAAATTCTAATAAATTCCTCGATCGAAAGTATTTCCAATCATTCATCCATAAATAACACATAATCGTACATAAATGTAAAACAATTAGTCCCTTTGATAAATTTCGATAATGATATTAGAAGACGAAGATTATCAGAACTATGTGATATATTAGCGCAATACATTTCGAACAATCTGGTTCTTACCTTAAACCTACCCTGGTAATATTGACTTATTATCCAGAGTGATTAGGTTTCGCTTTGTGTTCACATTATTATTATTATTACTCACAATTGATTGATCACTGGGTGGTGATCAATGTCATGCTTGTCTAGTCCTTATTAGTGCAGATCGAATGCTATCGATCATGTTGCAATGTGGCCACCAGTCTAGGTGACTCGACACTGCGGGCACTATGTATTGAGATTTAGATGGTGGTTGGAGGTAGTCAACAGGAAACCCTGGACCCGGGCTTCGTGCTACTTGGCACTCGTCAGCAAGGTGTACCTGTAATCTTGAGGGAACTGATGCTCCCTGGCGGATTCGATCTCGTGTCACCCAGCTTCACAGTCAGAGACGTTACCACTGAGCTATCCGAGCCGTGACTAACCTCCTGTAGGACTGAGATGGAATCACAATTGATCGATCACTGGGTGGTGATCAATGTCATGCTTGTCTAGTCCTTATTAGTGCAGATCGAATGCTATCGATCATGTTGCAATGTGGCCAACAGTCTAGGTGACTCGACACTGCGGGCACTATGTATTGAGATTTAGATGGTGGTTGGAAGTAGTCAACAGGAAACCCTGGACCCGTTCGCTCCAAACGCCATCGCATTATCCACTTAGCTACCGAGTCGTGATAGCCATTAGCTTGTGTAATGAAGTAAAGTTTTAATTCATTTTGGATTGTTTGTTTGGATCTTCAATTCTGGGGTGCAGGTACATCCGGCTGACGAGTCCCAAATAAGACGGAACACACGTTGCGGATTCCACTGCTAGCCACTTTCCATTTTTGCTTATAAAGCTTATGATTCAAGGCAATATCGAGGCAATCCGCATAGGATGCACATATCCGAATAAGAGACTGATCGATTGCAGTCCTAAACGCCAATGGGAAGATTCGAACAAACAATATAAAATGAATTAAAGCAGTTGAGCATGTTTTTCTTCAAGGCATGAATTTCAAAACTGTAAGAGAGTTTAGGGATTTCGGTAGATTACATAGCCAAATTCAGTCAATCGAACTGTTCTTTTCAAATTGACTAATTTTAGCTAGTCTATAGCATTGGATTAGCACTAAAATACCAGATAAATATGATATTGGCCACTCCTCGATGACCAATCGATGTAGAGATCTAATTTCATGGCAGGTCAGTCGTACCTCGAATAGTTCTGTGACAACGTCTCAGAATGACCTAGACTCAAATCTCACAGGGAGCATCAATTCCATCAATATTTCAGTTATACCTATTTACGAGCGTCAACTAACGCAAAATCTAAGCGTTTACTTGATTCCTTTCTCTCTGTTAACTCTTTTAGGTTTAACAACTGAAGGAATCTTCCGTCGATCTGTCAGTCTGAAACAATTACGAGATGTACAGAATTTATATAATAATGGTAAACTCCCTTTATTATTATTATTAAGTTATATGAACAGTGTCAATCAGCCAGTCAGTCGCAACGTGGAACCTGGTACGTTTGTACATTGGTTCAAGTTGCCATACACAATCAGCACAGAGAGATGAAATTGTCACGCCCTATCCCAGAACAATATCAATTTAGAATTTCCAATACAAATAGCCTTAATTTACGTATTTCCGTTTCTATCAGCATTACAGTCAAGTTATTTTTTATAACTTATAAGACAGTGTAGTTTACCTGCATACAGATGTGTAAAATATTTCCATTCTTGTGGAGTTTTACATACATAAATACATAGGTAGAAATAATGCCGATTATCGATTGTGTTTTGTTCGAGTAGTTAGTGGTATAGAAGTGAGTTGTTTTTTTCCTTCCTAAACAATGAAATATTACAAAAATATAAACGTGTTTCATGATAGGAATCCTTTTTGCAAGCTAACAATATTTTCTTTAGTAAGAAAATTTCTGATTAATGTTCTAATCAATGGTGATAGTTGTAGACAATATTGAAACCAATAATAATTTACATTGCATATGGATTACAATAAATATTATTTGTCAGGATGAAATGCAAATGTGAGATCAAATTTTAACTAATTATTAAGTAATTAACTATTGTTCAGTATTACTTCCGTGTATTATATCATTTCAATGGGATAATTACTTAATATAATGTTTGTTTAATTTAATGTGACATTTATGCAGAGTGTAACTGATAGTATACTTTCTGTACTATTTCTGTGAAAAATCTATTTTTTTATTTGCCATATTTCAGTTATAAGTGATATTCGTTGACTAATCGTCAAATGTCAGTAAAATCAATAAATAAATGGATTTAGTTTGATAAAGGAATTGTCGTGTTTTTCGGGGGATGAATAATTCTTACTTCAGTTGTTAAATTTGTGTTCTTAATTGAGTTGTGCGAATCTCAGTGTTTCCTGTGGGAAGTATCATTTTTTCACAGATTATAACAAATATTTGGAATAATACAACTATGTGTCCATGTACAGATTTGTTTACTCAACTTTGTTCCTATAAAAGTTGGTGATACTAGTCCATTTTGTCCAAACTGCGCAAGCTCTAATTGGTTTCTAACTTTAGATATTCAACGGTTGTTAACCAACCAGCCTGACGTCTATTCTAAAGTACTCTATTTAGATCATAATCATTGATATTTTCATTTAATTCTTTTTTTGATCAGCTATAATCTGGAAAATTCGCTAAATACAGGTTTGTATGCACTTGAACTCGAGGTACAGTATTTGTATGAAGCCTACTGGCATCGCTACTCTTTAAAACAAACCGAAGTCAATGGAGCGTAGTGATTAAAAGTCGATTACTCTGGTCTTCATTGTTAGAAATATATGGGTGGTAATCACTTCCCAGTTACCTACACTGTGGAAGGATATTTCTTAAGGCACCTTTAAAGGAAATTGGTTTGGTAGTGATTTTGACTACCTAAATGTGTGATCGTAGAACCTAAAGGACAGTTATTTCAGTCTGGTCACACACCCTTTTTTATACATTGAAGCCCTTACTGCCAGCAACGGTAATCTGTGTGGTGAGGTCAGGTGTTCTGTTTTTACGACCATCATACTCTAACCCCGTCCTTCTTCATGGGAAAGCAATATCTCTGAGGATGCTAGTGGTTTGTTGGAAATACCAACTGCTGTTACACTCCTATGGAGTTGGTAGTACAACGTTGCTACCAGGCCTTAAGTTCCTGATTTTAGCCTGATCATTTTCTAACTAGCCTGCTTGTATATTAGGTCCTAAAGAGTTAGGGTTTTTCAACTAATATACGAGGGGTTTCAGTCTGTCATAAATAACATTGAACTTTCCACAAATAGGCATCAGTCCAATTTGCCACACAAAATCAACATATCAAGATGAAACTATCAGGGGCAAATATCAGAGTAGTGGGAGTAGTAACAGTATCAGTGGTAATAGAACATTAAGCGTAAATGGTGTGATTTCAGAGGAAAAAATAAATTAGCGGAATTAACAAAAGTATAAGGTAATTTTAAAGGTCAAGATCAAAGTGAAGACACATTATAATAGCTAGTATCGTAGTTGTTAAACTTTTAAGTCGGTTGTTGAAGCAACTATCAAATATGTATATGGTAGGGAAAAGGATGAGATTCAATATAATAATGGCTCGACCGTTGTTGCTACTTGACGTGGTGGTCGGGCTTGCCTATAGTGATGAAGCAACCGAGTTATACTGGCTGGAACAACCGTTCCTCAAGGTCCTACCATGTCAGACAGCCCGGTTGTAAAGCGGTAAGACTAAAAGCAACAAACCCGAGGTGTGACAGCAGTAAGGTGTTTCCTTCAGACAACCAGCATGACAGCGATGTTGCCTTCCCACAAGGAGGAGTGTGGTTAGAAAAGGTCGACCCTAAATCGGTCAACAGGTTTCCTTGGCTAGAACCCTTGAATCTCGTACCATTGATGTATGCTGTGTCTCTGAAACACCCAAACAGGACTCCAGTGTGGTCGTTCACTTGACCTCACCTCGGCAAAACGGAGAGCCAACGAGACACACCCTCCGTGTATCTGGTGACCCGACGGCCAGCTCTCACGGACTGGCAGGAGTAGGGATAGCACTAAGCATGAGGGCGGAACAAACACTGTTAGAGTGGATTCCCGTTAACAGTCGTTTATGTGCTGTTCGGCTAAACGGCTCCGTAAGAACTCTGAATGATAGGGATGCACGTCGTTGCCTTTTCGTCGTTTCTGCCTACGCTCCCACCGACTGCAGCTCAGATTAAATGAAAGATGAATCTTACAGAAAGCTATCTGAACTTCTTCATAAAGCTGAACGTTCAGACATAGTACTCGTAGCAGGTGACTTTAATGCCCAGATAGGTAGTTTAAACCAAACAGAAAGGCATTTAGGTGGGTATTTTAGTATACCGGCACAACGAACAGATAATGGTAATCGTCTGCTGCAACTATGCTCAGACAATCGTTAGTTTTTAGCAAACACAAATTTTAAGCATAAGGAAAGACATCGTCTAACATGGCGGCCCCCCTACACCAAACCAACGATGGACTCAAATAGACCATATTGCCATCAGTCATCGTTGGAGAGGGTCGGTAGAAGATTGTCGCTCGTTCTGGAGTACCTGCTTGGACTCCGACCATGCCCTAATACGGGCACGCATCTGCTTGCGCCTCACTGGACGCAAAAAGGGCCACATTAAAAAGACCAATTAGAACTGAGTTGAGTAACGAGAAAACCAAAAGTAGGTTCCAGGAACAACTGAGGTCACAATTAGGTAGTTCTGAAAACGAGGCCGACCCAGATGTCGCTTGGAAAGATATACAAACAGCTGTGGAAACAGCAATGAAATCTATTAGTGACTTAAACCACAGAGTTACAAAGAACCAGTGGATTTCTTCAAAGTCTATCACACTGATGGATTCTCGCAAACTCGTCCCATCAGGTTCCGAACATGATGAAGAGCGACAACAGATGAGATCTAGGTTAAGAAAAAGTCTAAGAAACCTCCGTGAGCAGTGGTGGGCAATGAAAGCAAAAGAGATGGAAAAGGCGGCGACTATAGGGAACACAAGACAGCTTTATAGACTAATAAAAAAAACTGGAACTAATAAGTCAAGTGTAAGTGAGATTATTTCGGAAAAAGACAATACTCTCATCTGCTCCCTGCCCAGACGTTTAGAACGATGGGCGGAACACTTTAGGGAACAGTACAGCTGGCCTTCAGCGACTCTACAACTACCCTCCATTCCCAGACAGTGTGAATGGAACATTGAAGTAGGTCCCCCAACTCTAGCAGAAGTTCAAAAGGCGATAGTTAATCTGAAACGATGAAGGGCAGGTGGTCCAGATGGATTGGCTCCAGAGGTCTTTAAGGATGGTGGTCCAATTTTAGCGACTAGGTTGACTAATATTTTAGCTAAGATCTGGGAGTTAGACGTTATTCCATCTGACTGGTCACAATCACTTATCGTCCCAATATATAAGAGAGGGTTAAAATCATCCTGTGACAACCACAGAGGAATTAGTTTAACTAATATAGTATCTAAAATACTAGCCTCGATAATTATTAGACGCCTAACTAAGACTCGTGGACTGCAAACACGAGAGAATCAAGCTGGCTTCAGACCTGGTCGTGGCTGCATCGATCACATGTTCACCATTCGTCAGGTTCTAGAACATAGGCATACTTATCGGCGTCCGACAATGGTGGTCTTTCTTGACATAAAAGCAGCATTTGACTCGGTAGACCGCGAGATTCTGTGGCAGTGTCTGTCATTGAAAGGCGTACCTCAGAAGTACATAAACCTTGTGAAGGCTCTTTACTTGAACACTACCAGTCGAGTCAGAGCTTATAGCGAACTGTCATCTGCTTTTGCAACCTCAAGTGGTGTCCGTCAAGGCTGTCCACTTTCTCCATTTTTGTTTAACTTCATCATAGACCTATTGATGGAAATAACATTCTCGTCGACTGAATTCTCGGGTATTGATCTCCTTCCAGGAGGTCCACTTATCGACTTAGAATACGCAGATGATATAGTCCTGTTTGGTGAAGACGCTGATAAAATGCAGAGTCTTTTGGTAGCACTAAGCAACAATGCCAGAATGTTTGGAATGCGCTTCTCTCCCTCTAAATGCAAGTTGTTGCTTCAGGACTGGTCTGCGTCAACACCTGAACTAAGGATAGGGAGTGAAGTAGTCGAACGCGTTGACAATTTCACTTATCTTGGAAGTCTGATCAGCCCTAATAGGTTGATGTCTGACGAAATCTCAGCACGGATTCAAAAAGCTCGTTTTGCTTTTGTCAACTTACGTCACCTATGGCGAAGGCGAGATATCTGTCTATCAATAAAAGGACGAGGATACTGCGCGGCAGTTCGTTCTGTTTTAATTTACGGCAGCGAAACATGGCCATTAAGAGTAGAAGACACCCGTAAGCTACTAGTATTTGACCACAGATGCCTTAGAAATATTGCTGGCGTCTGCTGGGATCACCGGGTAAGTAATAGTGAGGTTCGACGCAGGGTATTAGGGAATGATGGCAAATCAGTTGATGAGGTTGTGAATCTTCATCTACTGAGATGGTTGGGCCACGTGTTACGTATGCCTGAACACCGATTACCACGACGTGCAATGCTAACCGGTGTTCGGGATGGTTGGAAGAAAGTTAGGGGCGGCCAAACCGAAACGTGGCATCAGTGCTCGAGGTCACTAACATCTGTTCTGAGCCATGTTGGTAGATGCAGACTACTTGGTTGGGGTCCGCGTGACTATCGTAACCAATGGTTGGAGACTCTTAGTGACATGGCTCAGAATCGATCGCAATGGCGTCGGTGTATACACTCTCTGTCTTCCCTTAAACTAAGAGATTAAAATCGCTTCATATCTTTCTTTCTACGAACTAATTCTTTCTTTCTGTACTATATCCTTATTGCAATCTTTCTTTTGTATATTACCACCTCTGAATTAACTACTTTTATGAATCCGTTGTCCATCTTGTTGTGTTAAGGAGGTATGGCAACTTGGACCGATGCATATATGTGCCTGGTCCTACATTGTAGCTGACTGACTGACTGAATATAATAATGGGTAACATCTATTCTTCTTTCTCTATGCCGTCTATTGTATGTATAACAGTTCATTTTACTACAGCTTCGGCAGTAGAAAAACATACTAGTTAAACATATTTTCTCGTAAAAAGATAATCAAAACGTTTTCAGTTCCCAACAATAGATTTTTATAAGTATGGAGTTACGGAGATTATTGAATTTGATTGAAATCCCGAAACGATCTAAGTTAGACAACCAATGGAAATCTGGAGGCATTGGACAGGTGTTTCGTCCTAGTATTGGTTGCTCCAGCAGTGCGCATCCATGACTCCGCATGCGGGGATCTGACCCACGACCTTCGGTCTCACGCGCAAACGCTAACTTTTTAATCACTGAGCTGAATGGGATCCATCTGTGTTAGTGTTTGACTTAAATCAATCCACGACATTGCACTATCACCTTGCATTGTCTTCGGTGAGTAATTGCCGCATATCCGGCACGGCTTCTTACTTGTCCAGTGTTTGTTTAACTTAGATCGGTTCAGGATTTCAATGGAGTCAGACTTCATTATGTTTCCCTATTTATTAGTTTCGATATAATATATACGAAAAATTTGAATGGATGATCTTATTAAAATTAACCTGTTACATTTCACATATCGCATTATTCAAATATCTATATATGTATGTCTTTTTTGAAATAGTTGTTAAACTATTTTTATTGTGTACCTTATGGATGAGGGCTTGTTATTTCTTGTTGTTAACTATTTCTAATCGGTTATCTGTTGGTATATGTGTGTATATCCTTAACACACTGCCTCAATGTTATCATTCAATCATAAGTTTCTACTAAAGTTGGACAGTGGCCAGAAGTGGAATCTGTGATACATTTTTTCTTCTTGTTTGGGACTCGTCACCTGGATGTACCTACATTTCTGTATTCGCATTCACTTAGACTCGAACCTAATTCCTTTTAAATCAAACAGCAAAGCGTTTTCCACGGATCTTCGGTATCGTGATAACCACTAGTTTATGTTATGGGTGTGAAGTTTGATTTGTAAGGTTTTTGTATTTTCGTGTTGTTAATTTTATAGATTATATTGTATGTATTTTTTTACTTCCCCGTAAATAATGATAAATTATAGGTGAAACTGTCGATCTACGAGATTATGATGATCCTCATTTGGCAGCTGTTCTATTGAAATCATTTTTACGTGAACTTACTGAACCATTATTAACATTTGAACTGTATGATGAAATATTAGGTACAAGTGGTAAGTAATCTTGTAATTTATTTTCGAAACTAATTAATTAACATAACTGACTAACTAAATGTTACTGAATAATGATGTGATCCACATGTCAACCATACACTATTATGTCCGAACTCTTGATACTATTCGGAGGAAATGTGTGAAACATATGATGCTTCATAGCATTGATCAAAAAGGATGTGTGTCGATAACGTGAAGAACACCACGTAGAGTTAAGTCATAGTCTATGATATTGGACAGTAAATTTAAAAAAGAACTCTTAAAATCAAATATGTAGTTTTTTACGAATAAACATTTGTTCAATAAACACTTATGAAATAAGGATAAACTACCAAAGTTGTCAAATAAATGTAATTCCAATGATAGAATGGGTTGTGTTGCAAACACATATAAACATTTAAAAAATATTCCCTACTATAGCAAATAAGACATCCTAAGCGATATTTGCAAAAGATAATTGACAATAACCTTAGTTACTGAATTTTAAAAAGTAATAAGGTTCGATACACTAGATAGGGACGGATAAAAAGGATATGTATGTCGAAAGACCAACCAGGATTAGCGCTAGTGATCATTATTATTACTATTGGTATTATTATGTATTTATCAAATCCATATTATTATTTGTTGCATAGAATAGACATCTATTTTGTTTCTCCCTCTCTTTTCATTAAAATTGTGGAAGGTCTGGGTGCCAAAGAAAAAGTTGCATTAGCTAAAAAACTAATTCTTATGAAGTTACCTGATGATAATTACGAAATATTAAATTTCCTAATAAGATTTTTAACAGAGGTTAGTGAGTTTTTCGGATGTATGTGTGTACGTGAGACGTTTCTTTTGAAATATTATAGTTCATTTGTGACCTGATCATTATTATTGATAAATCATAAATATTTGTTTTATTGTAAGGTGAAATAACAAGTAATAAGCTTTAGTATTCAGCGGGTTTAATTCATTTTTGCTCTGGAAACTGGTCTCTCCGAACGGAGAATGTTAAACAACTCTGTGTTCTATCATCGTTATCTCTGTAGGATTACTGATATTCAGCGGCAAAATCATGTTAGTAATGTTTAGATTCAGTACTGTATGTTCGAATACAGTGATGATAACTCACTTAGTGTCATCATTTTGAAACACCGACTTCGGCGACCCTAACATTTGTTACCTATGTCATCCTAATGGTTTTCATACTGCGCATTATTTACCGACTTAGGGACTGTGTGTAAAAGGCGAAGAGGTGGTCAGTTCATGCCAGTGCGCCATTAGTTGAAAGAAAGCTGTATGTAATTTAAACCTGTTGGACCATCTCGTCTCCCTGGTTGGGAGTTTTAAAAGTGAATCAACTCACGGTTTTGAGACTTTATCAGACATGGCTCAACCATTGGCTATCATACCGTGATTTTCTCTTACATCTTTCATAAAAATAAAAGAAACTCAACTGAAAGTATTCTAAATGAACTGTTCTTTTCACTATATACTATCCTATTTATTTATTTCCTTTTAATAATACTTATCTCTCTTTTTGTCTCTACTATTTCATTCCCCTGTTTGTGTAATGCATCTATATTCTGGCCCTCATCTATACAAATAATAAAATAAATAAAATGGATTCAATATAACACTTTATGCGCTCTAAGTCCTTCAAAAAGAGAACGCACTAATTTCACAGACTAAATGTAATTTTATAGATAGAAAAAATAATGAGCAAAATATGAAACAACAGTCCAGAACAATTATAAAACTAATTAGTTTAAATTTTTACCATAAACGATTTTACATCAAAAAGAAAATTATGATTTGTAGTATTAATCTGTTGGGTTTTATCTAACACTTGTTCGCCAGACATATCTATCACAATCTTGAACGGTTCGATGCTCGTCACCCAGTTCGAACTCGCTAAATCTTACTTAGTATTATACATAACCTATTTTTCGCTACACATCTCAATAATATAAATACAAGGGTGAACGCATGAAGTGACTCCTTAACGCTGCCCCCAATACTTTTGGCCGAGCCACAACTATTAAAAATACAAGGCCTATCCTGTGTACGCAAGAGGGGAAAAGTACAACTCTTATACTCACTGATTCATTTTGCAGTGATTATTGAGTAGATTCAAGTAATCAGAACTTAAAGGAATACTATAAAGAAAAAAAGTCATATTGGATTGAATACACAACAGAAAATGTCAGAAAATAACCAAACGTTACAGTGAACGATTATCATATTCAATTAATTAATAGTCCTACTCTTGTTATAACTTAGACTGGTGACTACATTGAAACTTGAACGGCAGATTTTGATCAGAAAAAGTACCAGTCAAACATAGTATTGTTCATTATTCAATCGACAACCAGTGGTCCTTTTCTGACCCATTATCCCATGATAAAATATACCATTGATACCTGTCGTTCGGTACATCTGAATCCAACCTTACTATGATCAGTAGACATATCATTATATTTTTTCCAGTAACAAATCTTGAAGGCTATGTATTCATTTTTGTATCTATCCTAATTCTTGTTCGCCGTCTATATTCAGACTGTTATGCTTTTTACTATTCTGATAGTTAGAAATCAAGTGTTTTTTTTTATTTGGAATCAACTGTTCTGTCAAGATCTGTGGCGGTTTATGTTTTTCACAAAAATCTTTTTTTCACTTTCATTATTTCAGGTCACTACTTATTCTCAACAAAATAAGATGAATGCAGCTAATTTAGCTGTTGTATTCGGGCCTAGTTTAATTTGGTCACGGAATCAAGCTTCATTGACTGCCATCGATGTGATTAATGCATTCACACAAATACTAATTACACATTATGAGTGTATTTTCACTAAATAACCAGAAATTGAATTAATTGTCATTTATACAATGTTCCAAGGACATTTATCAAATATTTCTGGAAAAGAAAAGTAGTCTTCGTGGTTTAAACCTATTTTGTGTATTTCTCTTTTTTAAAATCTCCAAACCCTTGTAAAATTGTCTTTCCTTTACTGTTGTTTAACCAATTATTAATCCTAATACTACTGTTATTTGTTTTAAATAGTAGTCGTGATATGTTTGTCAACTATGCTTCTTATTTATTTATGTGAATATGAATTTGGTTTGATTGATCTTTGTGTGATTGACTCCAACATTTTTTTATGATACTACATTACCGTTAAAATTATGTGTGTGCAGGCACATACGTTCACATATAACAAACACCCCCCTACATGCTACAAATTCCTATAGTTAATCCAACAGAGATGAGCTTGTTAATTTCAAATATTTATCTGTCATTTAAAACAATTTTTTGGTTTACTGTTTAAAAACCTTCGTTATTTTGTCAGTCTTTCTTGTTTTGTTTTTCAGATCTTTTATCAAAACAGCTCACTTGATTTTTACTTTAGTTATATTCCTCACTTTTTGTGAAGATTTGCCAATTTAGTTAATTCTTATAAAACCTTTTTTGTTTTTGGTGTTGTGACGGAGGAAATCCATGCCTAAAGTTTACGCAACGGCTGTGATTGCCATATAGCATGTATGAATAATTGATAATATTCCTATACGCAATTTTGTTCTTTGAGAAGGGGAGTTAAGTGGATTCATATGTATACAGAGTGAGTTGTACTAATATTTCTGTCACTAGTACAGAATAGTAGGTAACGTTCTTGCCCAAAACTCTACTGAAATATTTCGTTGTTTGTTGTGAGTTGTGTATGAATGATTTTGAGATGCTCTTGGTAGAAGTATAGTTAGATAAATTGACTGAGTAATGTTCATATCAGATTTTTATACACAGTGTATAAGATACGTAAAATTGTACTGTAGTCACACAATATCAAATCACTAATGTTGGTGTTCATATTACACCTTGATCGATAGAAACCTATCATCACTAAAAAGTACTGGACGGATGTTACATTGGTCACTACTTAGAGATCAATCAATTTGGTTTTAAAATATATTATTTCAACAGGGTTTTTTTGAAATAACCAAAAATTTTGCCTGCGTTCTTTAAAATTTTTATAACACTTGCAGCGGCCTGATAATTCACGTCTGCAAGAAATGCGGCATCTTTGACACTATCCGTCTTCAATAACCTTTTTTATGAGGCATTGTCTCTTCTCATTTGAAATGAAATTGTTTATTTTATTCACCTGTGGCATGTAAAATCTTAAAAAACTTTTAGGTTACTTTAAAAAACGAGTTGAAATACTATACATGATAATTCAAAGGAAATCATTCTGGGAAGTACAGTTTAATTCGAATGTAAAATATCAACAAACCTGTACCTTCAACCTGATATTCTGTGACATTAAACTTCTTGAGAAACCTTTCAAATAATAAGTGAGTTATGTGAAGGTTCATGTACACATTTAATCGGATAAATTGATCAATTGTTATTAGAATTTATGTGACATTTCTACATGATATCAGTCCATGAAGTCATCGACAATTGGACTACGCCATGTTAATATGTGTAGACTACCTGGTTTGGGCCCGTGTGGTTGTCTTAATCAATTATTAGAGACTTTGAACGAAGTGATTTAAAATCGTTTACGATGGCGCAGTTGCATTCATTCTTTGTCTTCTCCCAAATTTTAAATTCCTTATAACTTCTTTTCGTTTTAATTTCACTGACTTATATTTTATTGAGTTTTATTTTCAATACCTAATCTCTATTACCACTGATACTATTACCACCATTACTATTCTGAAATTTGTCTTACCAATTTCATCTCTATGTTAATGGGGTATAGCTACTTGAACCGATACACATGTGTGCCAGGTTTTAAACTGTTTGACTGACTGACTTTCGCAATTCTCTTAACTGATAAAATATAGTGTATACAATTTCAAAACAACACATATTCTTTCGTGAGAAGAGAAAATTAGTTTCGATTAGTCTAGATGAATTAACAAGTATCATAACTGTAAATATCCAGTAAAAGCATCTCTAGTGTCTTCGTACTCTCTCTCTCTCTCTCTCTCTTACGTATGTATATATATATATACTTACATTGTCATTTAAAAGTCAATAAATTATATCAAGCTATAAAAAGACACTATTGATCTAAGATTTGTTTGCTTGTTTAGAGGGTATGATTAAATAACATCAGTACGCTACTTACACAAATCAATTGTTTTGAAAAAACATGAAAACTACTTATGAAATCGGATGTGATAATTTTGTTCGAGATATTCGATCAAAAATATTTTCTTGATTAATTGAGTTTTTCATGGAACTGTTGAAATTACTATTATTATTTGGACTTAATTTATTATAGCCATCATGATTGGACACAAAAGGAGTATTTGTAATTGTTGACTGTTGATTTCCGTTTAACAATGTTGTTCTCAATATTGTTTCTCATATGAACTCAGATTTATGAATTACATCTTGACCAAGTAATGTGTTTGAAGATCCAGATTGATAGTTGTTAAGTAATAGAGGCTTATTTTGTGAATTTAATTTTATTAACTTGTATAGGTTAAAACTTCTGGTAAAAACGTCACTACTAAGGTGAACGACACTGGATAACAATGGATTTTGAAAATTTCGTACAGGGCTACCAGAGAATAAGTCTTGTGTTGAACTCGATAACTAAGTGATTATTTTTATTCCACACGTTGCTCGGTATATTTAAATAATCAGTGTTATAAAAATTACTGAAATTATCTGTGGAAGGATTAATCACATTTCATTGATTTGTAGTCTTATTGGAGCTGTACACTACAGAATGGTACAAATGAAAGTTTGGGAGAATATGAGGTTTTATATGAGCGTAATTTATCATATTTGTTGCTTGATAAATACTTGGAGGACTAAATATTTAAATCTGTGTAGCTAATGAACTTGAAATTGTAACATCGTCACACCCTTCTCATATTCCATATTGTTGAGTTTACCGCTAGGTGCAATACTCCGCGAAACGCCCTCATCTGTTTTGCCATAAGCTATCCTCTCAATAAGCTCATCTAAGTGACTCTGCGTTGTGGCTGATAAACTTGTTTGGTCCGATTCATCAGTAGGCGATGAAACACTCAACAATATCTAGTAAGGAAAACTAATATGACCTAATCGTTAGGTTGAATAGGTCAAATTTTCAGTCTCTTGAGTACTTCTCACTAGCTGATAAACTAAGCCATATTCCATTTCTTCGCAGTTTGATTGGTTATAGCTTAATTCGCCAAGTTCAGTTGAGCGTGCATTCGCACGCTTACAGTAGCTGGTAAAGTTGGTGAGATTGACGCTCTCGAACATGAGATGCTGACACTTGTCGTCTCCCCAGTAGATACCATAAACTTTGTATTTCGTATAGCCGTACAGTAGTTTGAGGGCTATATTTATCAGAGTGAATTAAATGACTTTCTGATGGAAAGTGCGCCTTAACGTAGCTATGATTGAATGCAGTAGGTATAACAACTGACTGTTTCATTTCGATGAAATCCGTTTGTCACTAAATGTTTGTGGTGATAGCTAGTTGTAGAATAAGCGGGTAATCATTGCTGACGGTTGTTTAGTGATGAATTCATAGCTTAATCTACAACAAAACATGAACCATGCGGGTCAGAATTAATTATCGAATAATCAGTATAAAAAAGAGGATGTATTGTAAATGATGAGGGGGACGAAGGTGGACACGCCTGAACTTAACATTGCAATATAATTGTAAAGTGGGGCGCAATAAACTGAAGTTAATCTGTATCTGCGCTTAGATGCATCAGATGCTACATTAAACATTTTACTCGAAGTTTCAATTTGATATAAGTAATCTTTTGCAGTCAGGTAATGTATAACTCTGAGACCAACAAAATACACCCAACCAGGTGTTGGACTTGACAATTTATTAGTCCGAATGCAATCGCAACTGGATGAATTGGGAGTCGTTGACTCGTATGCGTCTAACAAAATCGATCCTATAGGTTTCTTCAGAATTGATTTTACACTGTAAGCAGCACGAAATGGCTTTCTAAACATGCAAGACAAATTTCCATATATATATATATATATATATATATATATATACCGATTTGGTAGTCATTGTGAAGAGTGGAATAGCAAAGCTATGATAAAGAGCGAAAACAAATTTTATGATCTCAATTAATCCTAAATCTATACAGTACTAGATTTTTGTTTTGTGCCTGCTTTATTCTGTGAATCATAGACTTTCGTTTAATGTATAGATTGCCGTCATATTCTCTTCCATTCTAAAACTACTGTAATTTAAACGTGACCTCTGTATCCCATTTTTGTTAATGTAATGTCCTATAATTGTATTTTCCCTATTCTTTGTACGTTGAGGTCTTGTTAATCATTTATTTATTCATGTATCTATTTTGAGTCACTTGAAGGAGGAATAAATTGAATAACAGCTTCAACTAAATCGTCTTCTCACTCTCCACTTGCCAACCTATCAGGTCAGTGGTAGGACAGTTTCTCCTCCCTGTTCTCAAGGCCTCTCTGATACAAACCCAACAAACGTGTTAAGAGACTTAATGTTATACAAAGTAACCTATCTCATCAAGAATGTAGACTGCATTGAGACAATCCTATTTTAAATTCTAGTCATTTATTGACTGACCGGTCATTAAACAGATCATCTCTGTGTATTCACAAGATGTATTTCATTACACCTACTTGACTTTCAGGAACCAGATAGTGCCATTAACCTGTTCAGAAACATGTGGCCTAATGTCGAGTACACAAAACTGTACTTTGTTGATAAACAACGCTAATTGTACAGAATTAAGTGGTCGATAAATCTATAAAAAAATTATTTTTGACAGAAGTACTAAGAAATGGACAACTTATATTAAAGTTTAAACTTCCAGGTACAAATGTCTACTTTTTAAATACCCTTGCATTCACGAATATCGATGAAAATAAAAGTTATACATCCTTAAATCGGTAAAACAACTAATTAAATAGAGAAACAGATAATATGAACTAATAATCAAACTCTATATACAATAGAAGATTGTAAAAAGAATGCAAATTCTTCACTGAGGCCGATTAAAAACAATTTCACTTATAAACTATGACTATTTAAAGGATCCAACTAAAAATCTGTTAGCGCTCATCAAAGGTAGTTTCAACAGCTGATGACTTCATAGACTGATAGCAGATTTTAATCTGAGTATCCTAGTCTTTCACCAAAACTCTCATACACCAACCCACTAAGCTCAATGAAATAGGTTGTGGCTAAGAGTAGGCAACCCAAGTAATTATCTGACTTTCAAGATTATATAAAATAAAATGGATCAGTTGATGGAATGGAAGATGAGCTAAATATGTTAATCGTACGAAATATGAAGATGATTTACAGGTTATAAACTTACATTTAAATCTAATCAATACAACCCATTTTCTGAGGTCATGTTTGGGTTGTTAGTGAACCAGTTAGATTCAGTGTACCAATCTCGATAATTCTTAGAAAGGTTTGTTGACTCATTAGAAACAATTTGAATTGGGCTAGGTAATTTCTCAATTGCTACGAATGAACCTTCTTGAATCTGTAAACATAATGTGTTAAAGAACAGTGGGGTCAACCTATTTTAAAAACAGGGTAATAAGTAAAAATCTGAAGTTTAATAAATATCTGAAGTAACTAAGCCAGATAACACTAGAAATAATGAGTTCAGAATGGTACAATGTTAATGTCTCAAAATGTGATAAAACCTATGTCTAAGGCTTTATACTAAAAACCACCTGACACATCATATCACTGAAACTAGTTGTTACATTGGAAATCGTCTGATTGAATATAATCACTACCAAGGACTAAGTGTGAAAATGGTAACAAACAATGGTCATGCAGTACAGTAGTAAAACAGATATACAATAAAATAAAATACGCATTCATAATATGATTTTCCATAGTTAAAATTAGTGTTTCTTGTATTTAGATCAGCAGAATAGCTTGCCTGTCTTCGTAATACAAGGACTTAATTTTCTATGCATTCGACTTTGTTAAAAGTTCACAAACGGATGAATAAAGAACTGTCGTTGCTGACCTACTTTCGGAAGTTGAATAACACAATCCCACATTTGAGATTTAGAAATGTATTGTATCCAATGGTTTTAGACTTGCTAGTAAGACAAACATTTTTTAATCAGCAGATTATAGTCTAGAATCTTCCGATTTTAAACTACTTGTGCTAGACCACCAGTCTTCGAAATGTAATCAACCCTATATTTGCTAACTCTCACCACTTCGATCGCTTTTATTTGGAAGGGGAAGATTTCGGTAAAATAGTAAGTATTGCCTAATCATAATCAGTTATATGGAACTGACACATTAAATACCTCAGATATACTTCCTAACTCTTTAATTATTTAGTTAATCGTGTAATATGGATCGATAATATTCTATGAAATTGACAATGGTCATTTCAGTATTGATATTCGGTATATCATTTAACTAACCAGTTACCTTGTTCATAGGTTCGAAAATGTGCTTGATCTCTTCTTCATTGATTGTTTCAGTATAGATTAGACATGGTAATTTATATAATTATTCTTTTACAGATCTCATATTTAAATCATTTAAACATAAAACGCGGCCATAATGCTTCATGTACACATCTATTAAATCATCAGCTGATATTCTTTTATTCGGTGTAGTCTCCAAAATCGTCAAAAGTTGTTCAGAAACAATTTATAAGTGATGTTTCGGTGTTAGAACATTGCTGAAAGGTAATGGAAGGAGTTTGCCTTAATTCATGTATGAGTTTTAAAATTCATTTCTTTCTAAATATAATGATCAGGAGTTCAGCAATAAGCCACACAGACGCAGTTAAGAACATTTCTTTCTCTTTTTATCAAATGTAATCATTTGATGCTAAATTTTGATTTCACTTCGGTAATCTGTCCCCATATTAAAATTAATCAACTTTCATTCATTATTTAAACCACTATATAAACTACTATTATCCTTATTCGCTCCAATGAAACTAAGTAACCGTCTGCACAGTCA